GCCTGAAATTTTCTTTAATGCATTTGAAACAACATGTAGAGGCTGATTGCTGATTAAGGAGTCACTAACAACAAGATGAAAGTCTTGTTTTTCTTGTGCAGTGTAGTAATGTAGGGTGTGGTCAGGACAACGTCACTGTTGGGTGTGAATGATGCAGGGTGTGGTGAGAGATGAAACAGACTTGACTCTTTTGGCCGTAAGAGATCGGTGAAGTTTTGCTTTTCAGCTGTTAATTTACTGTTTAGTCACAGTGAAGCGTTTGCTTTTTTACATGGTAGGAAAAGCACTTTAAAATCTTGAAAGTGACACTAGAACAGATGTTGTACTCACACGCTGAGTGTAATTTATTTTCACATGTGTGTTGGTGTACAACGTGTACATCCATGTTTTTATTTTTCAGGTGGTTAGCACTCGTGTGGGGGGCATTCCTGAGGTGTTACCTGAGGACTTGATTACCTTGTGTGAGCCAACTGTGCGGGCATTGTGTGCTGGTCTGGAGACGGTCATCGCCCGGCAGCGTTCAGGATCTGTCCCCTCACCTGCCTCTATCCACACACGTGTGCAAAACCTCTACACCTGGAAAAATGTTGCAGAGAGGACTGAAAAGGTAGCTTGTATGATCACTAATACAGTTACAATTAAAAAAAAAACATGTTTTCAAAATAAGATCCGGGAGAGAGGAATCTGATTACTGACCTGCTAAATGTACACATAGACACAGTAACCAGGTTACTACAGTGCACGTAAACATTTTTACTGATTTCCTGTGTAACCTGATTTTCTCCTGTCGACTCTGATCATTGTGTTTTTTCTCTCAGGTGTACGACCGAGTGGCCCGAGAGGAGGTGCTTCCCCTGGACAGACGGTTGCGGAGGCTGAGGGCTCACTGCGGCCCTGTGGCTGGCTCCATCTTTGCATTTGTGGCTGTTTTAGACTACCTCTTCCTGCTGCTCCTGCAGTGGTTGGTGCCAGATCGGGTCATGGACATGGCCGTGGACGCCACCGGCCCTCAGGGACTGTGGAGGCAGGGACCAAGCAGTGAAGTCGGAGCTCATTCTAAAGGTGGCGTGAAGCGACCCGCAGAACCAGACATGTCAACGTAGCGATCACTCCATACTTCTCCATGTGCTTACGTTATGTTTTATGTCCTCTTGTGGCGCCGACCATAGATTGTATAACAAAATCTATGACATGAGAGCTCCCTAAAAATCAAAACATCTCAATGGCCAAACTAAAAACTCAAAGCACACGTTAAACACATTTTTGCCAAAGATGGTTTCTGTCATTGGAGGTCGTTCTTGTCACACTGCTGTTTGTTCAAATGTTTGTTTTTCTGATAACTTTGGTTTTTAATCAGTTATTTAAAGCTTGATTGACAGCTGTGTGTGCCAATCCGTGTGCTCGTGAACAATGGCGCTGCTTGCAATTGATGGGAAGGGTGTATGTGTGGGAATTTGATACCACAGTGATCACCATCATAGAGCTTATTGTAAACTTTTTATCATTACTGCGCAGACTCCCTCTTTTAATGATGTCACCCCTGTGAGATGGCGGCAGTTGTGTCTGTCTGGGATATTTTGGCTCAATTTTTGTACAGTGAGAGATCCATCATCCATCTTTATACACAGCCTTTAGCTCCATTCACACAGATACCACACTATAGAGCTGCTCTGAAGTCCCTTCGTTATTCCCCCTTTGCATTTTCACACAGAACCAAACAACGGCAGCATCAGGCCACTCCAGTACGTGATTATACACTGCATCACGGCTTTGTGGAATCAAAAGAAGCATGATGGACTTGACATGTCACACATCAGTGTTGGCTTCCAGTGTGACATATAAAATACATGTCAGCAGCCCTTTATAAACAATAACAATAGCATTAACATGTCAATAATAATTATTTACCATCTCTGTTATATAGCAGCTGATCTGGTCCTCCGCTCAGAGGGAAAGGAGCTCCTGGACCTCATTGTTTTCCCAGTTCACAGACATTTATGGTCACTGTTCTTCTTGGGCTTAGCCGCTGATTGCTAACAACTACTTTTTAAATCTCCCGTGGTAAACACTCATAACACATCGTAAAAATGTGTGCCGCCCATGATCCTGTCCCCCAGACTCTCCTGCACAGCAAGGCGGCTTAACGGCACGATATTCCCAGGGGCTACAGAGAGCCCAGAGTCACTGTTTTCCCAGTGAACTGCCATGAAACCTTATTTTGGAAAAAAATATGTATGGATGTCAGTGGGGAGAGAAAAATGTGCCATGAGTACACATTTGTTTGTCAATTTAAAAGATAATTTTGTAAGTCAAGAAAGACCCAGTTTGTAGTAAAATTGCTGAAGTATAAATTTGTAATTAAAACATCAGATGTGTAATTCATGGCACAACTTAAACGGGATCAAGAAACTATTTGTCTCTCGCTGTTCAATACTTAACACCAGTAGGGAAGGGATATCGCCTCTGTATTCTTGCCAACTGACATTTGAAACATGGCTACTGAGTAGGGCTGCAGCTAATTATGATTTTCACTGTTGATTATTCTGTTAATTATTTTTTGTTTGGTCTGTAAAATGTCAGAAAATGGCAACAAAGGCCAATCAGTGTTTCACAAAGCCAAAGATGACACCCTAAAATGTCTCTGGAGAGAAGACACAAGAAAATATTCACATTTAAGACGCTGGAATCAGAGAAGTTTGACCTTTTTTTTAATTACTTGATTAATCAATTATCAAATTAGTTGGCGATTATTTTTAATAGTTGAAAACTAATCAGTGAATTGTTGCAACTCTACCACTGAATGTGCTCATACTAACCATTGTTTACATCAACTTATCAAAAGGGACCTTGTGTAAAAGCATTTTATTGAAGACTTGGAAACAGATTTTTTTTAATATATTTAATGATTAAAATGGAAACCTGTGGCAATCCTCGGAGCTTTAACAAGCACTTTTTTTTACATAGTATAGATTGCACTGAACAGAGGAGGTAAAAGGGCTAATTAGGTTTAAACTTATAAGAAAATAAAGCAGCAGTAATCAGTTTCCAGTTAGATGCATACTTCATTTATAGCAGTGGTTTTGTCGGTTAATTTCACTGTTTGTGCAAAGCTGTGTGTATATCAGCGCAAATTCCATTATTTGTCTGATTTTGATATCATGAATTACTCCTTTGTTTAATAATTTGAAATGTTACATATTTATATAACACCTGGGAGTTTTTTTCAGATGATCATGTAACTGCCAAACTGTCCACACTGTAAAATAAAGCGTACTTTCTAATAATTCACGTTTTCAGATATCTTTTTACTTAGATTATCTGCTTATTGTTAAAATCCCTTTATCCGCCAATTACTGCATATACATGTAGACAATACGGACATACTATCAAATACAGAAAAGGCAACGAAAGATGTAAAGATGTTACTGATTTGCAAAACATGAAAGGACACAGATAAATAAAAGGACAGCATGTCAATAGAAAAAAAGAATTTGGAAAAATGAATAAATTCAAAATAAATAAGGGGACAAGGAGAATTTAAAAGCAACTTTTTAAAAATTGTTTTTCTTCTTGTCATTGTTTGTTATTCTCCTTTAAAAATGTATTTATAAAGCGCATTTAAAAAACTCTCATGTTGACCAAAGTGCTGCACAAAAGGAATAAGATGCTACAAACTCACACATGAGAGACAACATAACTGTCAGGAATACAGCTCACACATTTGGAGACACAACACACACAGGCACACATCGGGAACGCCACATCAGGGGCGACTCAAACGCCAATGAATAAAAGTAGGTTTTGAGCCTGAACTTAAAGGCGTCAGTGTGGGGGGTGGATCTGATTGGGAAGGGGGTGCTGTTCCACAGTTTGGGGGCAGACACAACAATAATATGATCACCCCTGAGCTTCAGTCTGGAGCGTGGGACAGCCAGGAGCCCCAGGTCAGCTGACATGAGACAGTACGCCTAAAAACACATTTGATGACTTCTCTCTTGGAATTAGTTTTACAAAGAGACGGCCCTGTGGAATGGAGAGCACCAGACAAAACACAGATGAGCTGTGAAACAGGAGGTGATAGAGAAGGGGTGGTGTCACTTTTCAAGGCCAACAATGGGGATTTGCATAGCGTCATGATGGGAGGTTGTTTTGTCCATGCCTGCAAAAAAACTTGAGCTCATGTAGAGAGAGCTAAAACTAGAATTGCAAGATTTTGCAATGTATTAAATGTGCAACAGATCAGTAGATGTGTGCCTAAATATTGAGCTTACTTTGTAGTTTTTGTATGTGAATGAAATGATCTTTGGTATCATTTTATCCAGCTGGTGTTCAGTAATTTAATTTAAGTTCCTTATGATTCTCTCCTGCAGTTGATTAGGGAAATTAATTGATTTGTGGCACACTATGATAATAACATGCTTTCAAATCTTGTTTGGGGGTAAGGTATCAAGTATTTTCAAGTCAAAGGGCTCAAGTCCAGGTGAAGTCACGAGTCACTGGTGATAAAGTTCAGGTTGGTATGCAAGTCTTTTTTGATATTGTCAAGTCAAGTATAAAGTCATCAAATTTGTGACTGGACTCAAGTCCCAGTAGCGTCACTTGTGTCCACACTTCCTCAGAATATATTTTGAAACAAGATTAGTGTAGTGGCAGAATATGTCAGACACATAATGTCTCACTCTTCTAGTATCACCAAAGTAGCCAGAAACTTGTCCAGGCCTGTGTGCTTGGTGCTTGTACCTGTTTGCATGCACATTTCTAATCACTTTATTCAAGGTGTATCATGAGTACAGGCCCCTCCAAAGAACCATTGTTACGCACATACTGGAGACTATGTGCATGGACTGGGATGAGGGTGGGCGTGAGGCGGCAATGTGGGGGAGGTGGCCAAGGACCAAGATAAGAGAGGGAGGAAGGCCAACCTCAGGTTTATGTATCCGCCTGGCCAAGCTTGAGCCCCAGACAGTTGTGGAGGAGTCTTTTGTTGTTTCATTATCATCATGGCTGCTGTTCAGACTGAGGTTTCCCTGTCCTCACAACCCTGGCAGAGGCCCCTGTACATCTACGGGGGGTTGGCATGCAACTCACTGATGGCTGGTAAGTTTTTGTCTTTGTCTTTTTGACCTTTTTAGATCATTTTTGTGTCTTGAGAGAAATTAAGTTGCGCAACTGGTTTATTTTTGTTATTTCTTGAGCAAATGTACAAATTTCGTAGTAAGTTTGATTTAGCTTTGCAAGTGAATGCTTGAACACTAACAGGGATTCTTGAAGCATGATCTCTGAAACCACTGTAATCTGCCCTGCACACAGAAAAAGCAAAAGCCACAAGTGTTTGTTGTTTATACAGTCAGTGCATAGTTGGTGCTGATTTTGTTTGTTTGTACTGTATTAACACTGAATCACATTTTCCAAAGAAGAGTTTGCATGAATTGTTTGCTTCAGCAATAGATGTGTAATGTTTTGCTGGTTTGGTGTGAGGTTTTGAGGTTAGTGTGTAAAGTTATGTAAAAACTTTCACCAAGCAATCAGAGATAAACTGTAAGCAACAGATTCCAGTGTCCTACTAGCTAGGTATTAGGTTCTTGAAAGTTAGGTTTTTGTTGTCAGAGTTACAGATTATTTGAGCACTGAGCCTGACAACTCTGCATGTAAACTGGGTGTGTGTTGAGCAAGTTTGGTGTTTTGGGTTTGAGTGACCCTGAAAAACCAGATTAACATGGATTCAAACGAGGCCATCTTAACATTACAATAGACAGAGAGCAGGATCAGTCTGCCATGAGCGAATCTGTGTGTTCTCTGAAAGTGAATCTTACTCTCTGTGTCCCAGACTTCTGGTCCGACAGAACTCCTCTCCATGAAGCCGCCTACCAAGGCAGACTGCTACACCTGAGAAGCCTCATCGCTCAGGTGAGTTCTTGTTGATATGGCACAGGATGCACAGCATATCCACGGTTGTATCTGACAGTATCATCCTCTCTGATCTCCCCTGCAGGGCTTCCATGTAGACACACTCTCCATGGACAGAGTCTCCCCTCTCCATGAAGCTTGCCTCGGTGGACATTATGCTTGTGCTAAGTTCTTGGTGGAAACCGGTGCAAATGTAAGAAAAATTATTATTTTCAGTTCTAAGGCAGGCTTTGTTTTCTGGTTATTTGCGATCTGAATGGACAGATTTGGGTATCACACCTGATGGATTTGTCTATGAAGAGAAACTTAAATATTTAGGAATCATAGATATAGGAATTCACAGCGTTATTTTTGAAAACAAGTAAAGAAAGCTGAAAAAATATCAAAAAGAAGCCTTTATATTGAAGAGAAATATGCAGATGACATACTAGTTTTTAAAAGTATTTTCCTATCACACGGCTGGAACAACTGGTTTGAAGACTACAAGTAGTCTGAAGACTACAAGTTGAAAAAAATGAAAAAAGAAAATGGGGGTAATGAGTTTGAGAGAAGAGAGCCTACCAGGCCTCTGTGGTCCGCTCCTCATCTCTGCTTGTGGATAGCAGCTTGAGGCTTGATCACATAACATATGAAAATCTCAGAAAAAAAGGGTCCGTGGTAGAGTTGCATTGTGGGTCCTGTAGATTAGGTTTTAAGAAGAAGGAAGAATGCTAGCCTGGTTCCAGACCATAGACCCTGCCCACTCAACTTAAGGTTCTGGGAGCTTCAGTCTGACACTCAGGCTAGAAGAATGCATTTCTCTGCATCATGTGGATTCCTTTTTTATTCAAACTGTGAGGCTGACAGCGTTAAAGGACTCCAATGCTTAATTAATGGACTGCTCTTTGAACAATGTCTGGTAATTTGGTAGGAAGTCTCAAATTTACTGGAGAAACAACACCACCAAGATAAATTTGATTCATTTTATTCATCCTTTATCCATCAATAAAGTGTATTTGTTTACAAGGTGTTTGTGATGTCTGATGCTGGTTTGTGTGTGCATATGTGCCTATGCAGCTCTTTTGGCTGTACTATCATCATCTTTCCTTTTATATCCCCCTCCACAGGTAGAGGCAGTATCAACAGATGGCGCCACACCTCTCTTCAACTCTTGCAGCAGCGGGAGTGCTGCTTGCGTGAGGCTCTTGTTGCAGCACAGTGCCTCCGTATACACCCCCTACCAGCTGGCATCACCCATCCATGAGGCTGCTAAGAAAGGTGTGTGTGTGTGTGTGTGTGTGTGTGTGTGTGTGCAAACACATGTAAACGTTTAAATGCGAGATCAGATTCTGATGCTGTTTCTCCATCAGGTCACAGAGAGTGTCTGGAGCTGCTGCTGTCGTATGGCGCTCATATTGACGTGGAGCTGCCAGTGGTGGGGACGCCGCTATACTCTGCCTGCATGGCCGGGTCTGCAGCCTGTGTCAGGGTGCTGCTACACTCAGGTAATCTGCAAACTCCACAGTGTCACAAAAAGTCAGGAGCAATCATAAGTCACAGAGCTTTCAATCCCCCAAACAGGGTAATGTATAGAGTGAAACAACATCTCAAGTGTTGATGTTTTTGGTTTCACTTCAAATTTCTTACAATAATACAAACGTTACTTATATTTGTAGAGCCCAAGCTAAAGTTATGCTGTAACTCTTTCTCTGATGTGCTGACTGTCAGAGCTAGATCAAATGTATGATTAATAATTGATATATTATCTGAAGCCTAATTTTTCAGCAAGTAATGTACATACTGGTTTAAATAAACTATTTGACTGTATATCTCGATTTTTTTGCAGAGCATGTATAAGAAATTAAAGGCCTGTCCCATATAGACGCCCGTCCCAAATATAGGCCTGTTGATTTCAGTGATTTAAGCAAATAATATCCCATGATAATAATTGAAGTTTAATGGTAGAAAAAAAAATACAAGAAAGTATATATGAATAAGTATATATATATATATATATATATGAATATAAATGACAGAGCTGTGCAGTTTTTAGAAGTGGTACTGATGTGCAGAAATGTAGAAAATATTGTCAATGGCAGTGATCAAAGCTTCAAAGCATTTGAGTCAGCTGAGACACAACAAGCTATTTTAAAATGCGACCCTGAGCTGTGTAATTGTAACAGACATTGATCACTATTTTCTGGCATCATATAGACAAAACAATGTATTGATTAATTAATAGATTGATCGATAATGAAGATAAATACAGCTGATGTTACTGCTTTTGTTTCTCTCGTACTCAGGGTGATTGTTAGCTGTTCAGTATCTGTCTTCACTTTAATTTTCCATGGAAACAAGAAACCACTTTTGCAGATCTGAGCAGCACATGCTTTTTATGGCGAGTATAGATTTGAATTGCAATTAATTATTATTCATGGTTCTGCTCCAAGTTCCCCTCTTTTCATGTTTTTTAAACAGTCACCAATTTCCTCTCTGCGAGGCTTCCTAATAATTGAAGCCAGTGAGTGCTGAAACAAACAGTCTATGAGCACACAATGATGGTTTTGGTGTTTTAAGTTTAAATCACGTCATTTTTCTGACTTGTTCACTCGAGTCCGCTGTTGACCGTTTCTGTTTCTGTGCACATGCAGGAGCAGATGTTCAGATGGGGTGTGGGCAGGACAGTCCTTTACATGCTGCGATTCGAGGTGGAGAAGCAGAAGTTGTGGATCTTCTACTGGACTTTGGGGCCGATGGGTGTCGTCGGAACGCAGAGGGAAAGACCCCTCTGCATTTGTCATCGCCCAACAGCGCAGTGAGAGTTGCACTGCAGAACAAAGGTATGTCGTGGAAACTTATACATGTAACATAAACCCAATTTATTTATTGTAGTGTATAACTAGAGGGCAACCTCTGTGTCTGAGAGGTGAAGCATATGTGTACATGGCCTTAAACCTGCAATTCCTCTAATGGCCAACAGGGGGTGACTTCACTGGCTGCAATACTAAAGAAGCTTACAAGAAATTGACCCTACTTCTCAGTTGAATAATTCCTTCAGTATGCATTTTCTAAATGAGTTCATGGTCTCAATCACAAGTTTCAAGTCTTCTTCAACACAACATGGTATTCATTTTATCAATTATGGTCCCATTCAGAGTAAAATAGACAATAAAGCAGGGTGTGCTTTAGGGTGTGGCTACCTTGTGATTGACAAGGTGCTACCACAGCGGTGTCCTTCAGTCAGATCCACCCTGGCCTCGCCCCTCCACAGCTCCACCCTCTTGTCCAAATATGGTCACTTCTGCCTCCAAAAAACCAAGATAGTGACAGCCAAAATCCCAAACTCTAACATGAATGTAATATCAGTAGGGCTGTCAAAATAACAGGTTAATTTTGATAAATTAATTATCGAAAAAGGTGTTAACAAAATTAAAGAAAAATTCAAATTAACCAGGCACTTAGACACAAACTGAGTAAGTCTACCTGTCACCGACTAAGTCCCTTGCAAAATGGATTACAATGGACTGCAGACCAGATTTGGTGGTAGAGGACAGGGGGACAATTGTGTCCAAAATCCAGCAGCTTTACTACGACACATCTGCCAAAATTCATTTGAATTGACTTTTTTAAAATACTTCAACAACAAAAGTTAATGTATGCAATTAATTTAGATTTAGGTGTTAAAAGGTGATTTTCACCTTAATAGACATACCCAAAATGAATCAAGAATAGCTCCACAATTATCAGGTCCGTATGCATAAGCTTGGTCTCTATGTAAAGGTAAGACCTCAGAGGATGTACTCCCAGTGTCAGTAACATTGTGACTGTTACTATGCGTGAGTAAATTGTGATAAACCAATCCTCGCCTTAAACATATTCTGAATTAGACAATGTATAACACCGTGATAACAATATTCCCATGCAAAGAGGTGCCACTGAATTCATTCGTCAACTCCTTGACCACAACTGTAGAGCTTAGTGCTGGGGACTCGGAGGAGTAGGCTGCCTGCAGATCTGTGGGTACGGGTGGAGGACTGTGGAGTGATTAGTTCTTGTAGGTAGGGGGTTGCGTGTCCATTGATGCATGTGTGGGTGAGCAGCAGGATTTTGTAATTGATCCAGGATGAGACAGAGAGCCAGTGCAGCGAGTGTAGAATGGGAGCCAGTGCAGTGAGGTTATGTGCTCATGTTTATGGATTCTCATCAGGACCCTGGCAGCGCTGTTCTGGATGTACTGCAGCTTCTGGATGTTCTTGCCAGGAATCCAGATGAAGAGCATGACTGCAAAAGATCTCATCAATGTAATGATAAAGCTAGCTATCTATCTAGCTATCTATCTAGTTGAAAAAAAAAGCAAAAGAAACACAATAACTTACTCATAATCTGGATCCAAGTACAAGTGAAAAAAAATCCTCATCAAACTCCTCATTGTTGCTGTCTGATGAGTCTTCTATCTCAAGATCACTCCCGCTCAAAGTCTCCCCCAGAGCTTCTAATGAGGTAGATTTACACCGCTGCTGCTCCACAGACATTGTAAAAGTATTTAAAATAGTAAAAACAACTGAAAAGAAGTCACCAGCAGTGGTTTGAGCCGTGCGTAATGCATAAACTCTAGCATCCTCGCAAACAGTCGCCTATGGTCATAGATTGTATATTTAAAAAAATGCTGCAGTGTTAGAGGCAGTTTCAGCGGCAGTGAAACATAGAGCTAGTCTGGCGGACCCTGTACCGGGTCTGTTGGGTATATTCTAGAATTGCTCGCTTGGCATATTCGCCTTTTACCTGAGGGCACTACTGTAGGATAATGTATGCAACTTCCGGTGAGATAGCGGAAGTAGCAGTAAGCTAGTTAGTCCCAGAGATTCTTGGTAGCAAACCGTCAACGGTGGTTCTTTTCAGGAGTAATTTGCCTTCAGTTTAGCAAATACTGATATTTTAACAAATATTTAAATAATGTTAACTTAGCATTTTCTGAAATGTCTTTGCGGAGCTGCTGCACTGTCTGAGTCTGTAACGACTAACAACCAGTCTAAGCTAATTTTTTGTCTGTGTTGAACATGTAACCAGGACAAAAAGGGATTGTTCTGTTGCCAAAGGTACCATAAATATGAGAACTAAAACCACCAGACATAGAGACTAGTATTAAATCAGAATTTGCAGAGTATAATGACACCTAGACTGACGGGTCTGTCACTCAACGTCAGTACATGATATCCCTGTGTTTCCCCGTCTGACATCATTCTTTACCTACAAAATTGCTCATTATATAATAAATTTAGCCACATACCTTGAAATATGTATTTAGTCATTAGGGCTGAGAATGTGTTACTGATTTACAGTATTCCCTTTATATCATATGAAAAAATGAATGCCAAAAGTTATTTCTTTTACTGCCACTTTATATGACTATTACTGAAGTCTGCTGCTAAATTCAGCATCATGTTTTGCTCAGTCTTTAATAAATCAGAAGTAAAAAAATGTGTAAACTGTGTCCTTAACACAGACGAGTGGAGGATTAGCTGGGAAACATCACACTTATTCACTTTAGATGGAGCTATATTTAATACTGAATTATGTTTAATGTTGTGTCTGAGCTCAAAGCCTTTAAAACTGTAGTCCACAAACCAGTGGGTGACATCACAGCAGCTACTTCCACTCCTTTTATACAGTCTGTGATAATAACAGCTCTGCCCTCTGTCTCTCCAGGTCTCTGCTCTCTTTCTCAGCTCTGTCGGTTCTGTATACGTCGAAGTCTGGGGAGGAGTCGTCTTCACAGAGCCTCGGGCCTCTTTCTCCCACACAGCATCAAGGACTTCCTCCTCTACCAATGAGGCGTCTCTGCCCTGCCACCGTGGCTCTTTGTTTGCTGCATCGACTGAGCTGTCCTTGTTTGTACCTTCTGTCCCTGACTAACAAGATGCAGGGAAAAAAAGATTTCCACATTCAGAGAATGGGACATAGTGATCTGTATTTTATAATTGTTATTAACATATTACTCAAATTCAGTTCAGTTCAGTTTCATTTATAGAACCCAATATTACAAATCACAATTTGCATCACAGGGCTTTACAATGTACAATATGTTTTCTGTCTGTGGACCCTCACAGCAGAGAAGGAAAAACTCCCCCTAAAAAACCCTTTAACAGGAAACTCAAATTAAATGCTTTTGATACAAGCATTAGAAGTAGCATTCATATTGCTGTACCTTTATTGTGTCAAGTTTTGTATTTTTAAACCTTTAATGAAGTTATTACCATTTTTACTTTTTTACAAAATGTATTTAAAGGGAAACTTCACTGACTTTACACACCAAAGTCAGTTTACATGTGTTGGATAGTGCAAGTGCATATGCAGAAATAGCTGTATAAAGCTTTTTGTGGCTCCAGAGAGAGTGGCTCATAGTTTCACATGTTGCCTCAAGTGATGTCACTAGAGTCAATAAAGACTACAAGTATCACAATAAAAAATAATCTTTGTGTGTGAGGAGTCAGAAAGAGGTGGTCTCACCAGACCTCAGTAGCTCCTCCTCATCTCTGCTTGAAGCTAGTGAGGCTACATTAGCTGCTATTAGCATAACAAACGTAACACCTGACTCTCCAACAGAACTGGTTGGTTGAGTTGCATTGTGGGTAACGTAGGTGACAAGAAGGATGTGTGGGATAAAATAGACAATATCTGTTTCTGCTGCATCGGTTTTGATCATTTTTTACGTACAAAGCCAAAACTCGTGTAAGATATTGTCATACAGGATTCACAAAATAGTATAAGGTGTAAATCCATGTATCCACAAAAACTAAATACTGTATTTTGTAAAAAAGTATTTTAACAAGATGATTGTAATGTTTTGTATTCTTTGGTGATCCTTGTGTGAGAACACCTCCCTTGCCCTGTTAATAGGACAAGTTCCCACCATTTGTGTGTAAATAAATATAATGCAGGTTGTCTTCATGTTCCCATAGTGTTATAATTCATTAGTTGGTATTTTTACTGTTAGCCTGTTAGTTGGCTCCTGTTTCCACATTTGGTGTTAGGGGCAGCAAAAGGGGTTGCGGGTCCATTTTGAGTGGACTGCAAGTGACTTGAGAACACATCACTTTTTTTTGAAGTACAGTAAATTTCTGGCACAGAGCTTTTATTTTGCAGCACCAATACAGCCTAGCTTTCTCACTCTCTCTTGTTAATGTTAACTACAGCCATTCTGCTGCTCTCATCAAGAAAGGAAAAATACCCACTGTCACGTCATTGTGTCGTCATATTCATCTTTTAATACACATGTTAAATCTCTGCACCCAGTGTCACTTTTCTCTGTGGTACAGAAAATGGTATTGAATATCAATATTTTTTAGGGTATTGTAGAGAAGTTAGAAATTTCAGTGCTGGGACTCTGTTCAGCTCTGGTAGTTTTCCAGCTACGCTCCTCCAGGTGGTTGCTTTTTAACGTACTCTGGGTTTTAACAGATCTGGGGAAAACTGCATTCTCCTACTCTGCACCTTGGACATGGAACAGTCTTCAAAAAGATTTAAAATTAGAAACACTTATATTCATTGATGAATTTAAGGGCATCATAAAGAATGTCATGAGAGAGACGAGCTTATTTTTCTTGAGAAGCCACTATGTTTGAATAGTTGTTGTTTTATTGTGGATTTTTGTGTTATATGTTGTATTTGTTGCATTTTAAATGTGTTTTGATAGGCTGCTATCTCGGCCAGGTTTCTCTTGTAAAAGAGAATTTGTAAAAGAGAATTTCAATCTCGTTTTGTATTTGATGGACTTTCAAAGTAGGTTTATAAACCAAAAAACTGGTAATGGAATATGCCAATCTTGTGAAGCACTGCCAAATCTGAAAAGAGGAAGGCAAAGTAAAGTACATGGGAAATGTCAAAAACAGCAGTAAGCGAAAAGGATCTAAAGAACTGAGGATGGAGTTTTCGTAGACGTTGTCACTGAAGGGGAATTCATTTCCCGCATTCAAATGCCACGCTGAAAGGTCACCTCTGCAGAGACCTGAAAAGTCTTATTTGAGCTGATTTAGGTTGACATGTCTTTCTCTGAACGACAAAGAAAAGCCTCGGCCATCAGCAAAAGATTGAAAAGGGGGATGCATGTTGTGACTTTATGTGTTTATTTGTAGGTGTTTGTGTTTGATGGATTTCCTGCTGCTCATGTCAAGATTTAGTGCTAACATGCTGCAACTGTGAGAGAACATTACCACTTATAACAAAATAACTTCTGAAGGTGCTGAACACAGAGCATAATAGATTAAACAACCTCAATGTTGACATTTCTTGTGAAGCCGCAGTTCGCAGTGGGTTCTCTTTGTACTTACATACAAAGAGAAGTAGTGAAATTAATAATCCAAAGAACCTTATTAATACCTCAGCTGGAGCTCCATTCACTTGTGTTGCTCTATTTGAAAAGGTCAGATATGCTACAGAGCGACGGACGCTCCTCTGTGATACAAATCAATTTGACTAAAAGTTTTAGATTTTTATTCAGTGAGTTTTAACAGCAAGAAGTTCACAATCACAAAAACCCTCTCATAAAACCGACGACCAGAGGGGGTCATACTGGACACATACATAAAGATATTTATGGTGAAGACCATACAGGACAACGAATTCACACCACAGTTCTGTAAACTGCACGATTAATATCGTCATACATTTTGACTGAACTGTTGAATTGCCATCACCAATATATTGTAGAGCTTGAATAATGCCAACCAACAGATCATGAATCATCAATAGTTTCATGCCCACAATGACAATGCAAACATGTTTACCATATTAATTCAGCTCATTAGCATGCTTACATATGCTGATCAGCATTGACACAAACAAGGGTTGTGGCTGAAGGTAGAGACATTATTTCTGCAGTATTTGGTCATAAACCAAATTATTGGACAAATTTTAATCTGATGATGGCGCTAAATTTTTATGGGGTTGATAGCAGGTCTACAGTGCCTATGACATTTAGAAGTGGCTTCTGAAAGCAGGGAACCTTAGATTAATTTGAGATGCAGCTCGGCAGAGTGTGTCAAGTTTTTCCAGTCATAAATCTGTGATAAACATTGTGTTTTGGTCAGGTGCGTATTTAAATTTTGAAAGTGCAGGTCAAGCTTCAAAAACACGAAATAGCAACATTGGGAACTAACATCATTGCACATGGGAACAAATGGGGTCACTGAATCCGCACAGTCACAGCTTTCCAGTCCTACCCAATTAATAAAATTCCTCATCATCAGCGTGCTGCTCCTGAGCTTTTTTCAGAATTCTTTTGTGCTTCTTCAGAGCTAAGCTAGTTTTCCAAATTAATACAATTAAACAAAATCCTCAGTAATACTGAACAAAAACCATGTAAGCTACTGCAGGCTCAACAAGTTAACATGCTATGTAGGTAGGGTATGCTAACAAGTAAGCCTGCCAATTATAGGCTAAAACGTTAGCGAGTTAGCTTGCTAAGTAGGGTATGCTAACAAGTAAGCTTACCTACAGGCTAAAAAGTAAGCAATTTAGCTTGCTAAATAGGTAGGGTATGTTAACAAGTAAGCTTGCCAATAGGCCAAAACGTTAGCAAGTTGGCTTGCATGTAGTAGGTGGGGTATGCTAACAAGTAAGCTTGCCATTAGGCTTAAACGTTGGCAAATTAGCTTGCTAAGTAGGTAGGGTATGCTAACAAGTAAGCTTAACAATAGGCTAAAAAGTTAGCAATTTAGCTTGCTAAGTAGGTGGGGTATGCTAACAAGTACCTTAAGCTTGCCAATAAGCTAAAACATTAGCGAGTTAGTTTGCTAAGTAGGTTGGGTATGCTAACTAGTAAACGTACCAATAGGCTTAAAAGTTAGCAATTTAGCTTGCTAGGTAGGTTGGCTAAGCTAACAAGTAAGCTTGCCAATTGGCTAAAACGTTAGCAAGTTAGATTGCTAAGTAGGTAGGCTGTGCTTGACATTATCCTTACTGTTAGGGTTAGAATTTTAGCCTATAAATAGGCTTATTTGCTAGCATAGCCTACCTACTTAGCAAGCTAACTGGCTAATATTCTAGTCTATCATCAAGTTTCCTCGTTAGCATAGCCAACCTCATTAGCAAGTTAACTCGCTAACCTTGAAGTAGCTTCCTAGGTTTTTGTTCAGTGTTATTGAGGATTTTGTTCAATTGTACTAACTTCAATTTGGAAAACTAGCTTAGCTCTGAAGAAGCATACAGGAGCAGCACACTGATGATGTCAGAGGGCTGTAATTAGGTTAATGGCAGTGTTGGTTCAGGTATGTAATGTGTGGCGTTGGTTCAGGAGCACGTCCCACTTGCATGCAGAAGCATTCAAATACACAAATACAGTTTTTGCTAACTGTAATGGATTGTAATGGATGCATGTCTGTAAAGCAGAAAGATAGAATACCATGGTTGGTACAAGTGGAGCCTAAGATACCACTACCTTCACAGCAATTGTATCAGAGTGGCAATGTCCCCCACACAAGGCATTTAAAAATGTCAGCTTGGCTCTGTGAGATTACAACATTAAACAATAATTGATTATTCACAAAAAGCACCAATATTTGAATTGAAAATGCAAAATGATTTTCAAGTACAGCTCCATATATTACACATTAACATTAACGTTAAAATTAACGAATGGCTAGTGAAATATACAGTATACAGGCGTACAGCCAACCAACATTAACTAACACCCACAGTTTAACAGAAACATCTACAATGTGACATTTGACAATTCTAATAACTTAGCATTTGACAAACATTCTTATGTAGCCAGTAAAATGCCTCTACTACACAGAGCAGCTCATGTCAAGAGTATATTATAACCATGAATACCTCAGTCAGTATCAGAGGGACCTTCTGCTCTATCTTTCTGCGTCA